AGACGTGTGCTCTTCCGATCTATTCTCCGTCAGACGAGAGACAATACATTGTAGATTATGACCATATTTTTTTTTGTCTGAGATTACACTGACGGGAGATTTCAAGTACACTGTAAAAAAAATGGTCTTGCGCTACATAGAGCTCTACAGTGGGAATTTTAATTTTTTTTTTACCAAAAAATTTATTTGGACACTTGAATTTATAATAAAGATAATGGTTTAAACGGATTTCATGTATTATTCATATTTTGCCAGAAAAAAATTCCTAAAAATTAGCTTGTTTTTTATCTCGTCCGGGTATATTAACCCCTTAATAAGTATACGGAAAGTGTGCATTCATATTATTGGACTATTATTATATACTTCTTTGCCGTTGTGTCGCTCAGCAAGAGCCCGAGCCAAATCGATTAACAATAACAGGTTATGGGCCCAGTGCCACGTTGTTCTCGAATTTTCTAAGTGCTCGTAACGTATTGCGTGTTCGACATGGAAAGAGCGATCGAAGAAGAAAATCTAAGATACAGGATCCCTCTGTTCGATGGAACAAATTACAATAATTGGAAATTTCGAATGGAATTGTTCTTAGAGGAACTAGGACTTCTCGAATATGCGCAACGTCCCGTTCTCGACGAAGCTGTTGCTCAAATTACCGCAGGGGAAGAGCAAGCAGTACGCGAACAGCGTTTGGATGGACTGAAGAAGAAGGATCTGAAATGTCGATCTCAAATAGTACAAAGGATTTCGGACAGCCATCTGGAATACGCAAAGGACAAGCCCATGGCATTTGCAGTCTGGCCAGAGTTATCGAACGTGTTCAAAAGACGAGGTATGGCCAGTCAATTGTTATTACGCAAGAAATTATTATCTATGAAGTTCAAGTCAAATTTAGAAACCTTATCTTCACATCTCTTAAAATTTGAGCAACTCGTTCGCGAACTGAAATCTACTGGTGCAACGATGGAAGAACTGGACATTGTTTGTCACCTTCTGTTAACCATGCCGCTTGATTATGATGTCGTGGTAACCGCCCTCGAAAAGCTTTTAACAGAGAATCTAACCTTAAGTTTCGTAAAGAATCGTCTGTTAGATGAAGAGGCAAAAAGGAAAAGCGGAAATAAGTCGGGTAAACAAGATACGCATCTACAAACAGCGTTTGCAACGTCGTCATCGAATTATCGGAAAAACAAGACTGGAAATGCATCGAAAGATGGAAAAGACAACAGTCAAGGGCAAACATACAAATTTAAATACAAATGTCATAACTGTGGGTTAACTGGACACCGAAGATCTGAATGTAGGAAACCAAAGTTGGCAAAAGAAGATGATCAATTTACGAGCAAGGTAAATCAGGCATATTTCGCCTCGAAGGAAGATGAAGAATTCTGCTTTATTGCTTCAACAAATGTCATCGACGATAGCGAAACTATCAGCTGGATACTCGATTCTGGAGCGTCAGAACATTTAATAAACAATGAAAGTCTTCTGACTGATGTGCAAAACTTAACTCAATCTGTTAAGATAAGAATTGCAAAGTCTGGAATAATTTT